TCCCTTCTCTTTCTAAGAACCATTTACTTATTTCAATTGGGAGCATCCCTTTCCTTACTTTATATATTATTTGCACTGTTTTAAACTTGACCAGGTCCTGGAATTTTAAAGCTTGCGTCTTAATATATAGTGCGTTTGTGTGAGCCCTATACCCCTCCTGATTTATTAGTCTAATAGCCCTTTTTTGCATTATGATTATGGTCTGAATGTTACTTTTATATGTGTTTCCCCAAACTTCTACACAATAACTCATGTATGGTAATATGAAAGCACAATATAACATATATAATGTTTTCCTATCCAGAAAATGTTTTACTTTCCCCAAGACAGCAATGCCCCGTGCTAACTTTCCCCTCACATAAGTGATGTGTGATTTCCAACAGGCCTTATGATCAATGATCACACCAAGAAATTTTATGGTATTAACCCTTTCTAGATATACATTATCAACACAAATTTCAATGTTAATATTTTTTCTATGGTTTCCGAATAACATAAATTGTGTTTTATTTAAATTTAAGGACAATTTGTTTCTATCAAACCACGTCTTTAATATCTTTAACTCCTGTGTGATCACCTCCACAACCTGTTGAAATTCCCCACTTGAACAAAGTATATTGGTATCAACTGCAAAAATTACGAACTTTAGGATCTTCGATACTTTACAAATATCATTTATATACATTATAAACAATTTTGGTCCCAATACTGATCCTTGAGGTACTCCACATTCAATATCCATCAATTTAGATTTAAACTCATTTATTTGTACATATTGCTGTCGATTCATCACATAGCTTTTTATCCAATCCAATACCACACCCCTAAACCCATATTTCTCCAGTTTGATTATTAAAATTCTGTGGTCAACAGTATCAAATGCTTTTTTTAGATCTAGAAAAACTCCAAGTGCATACTTCTTGTTATCCATACATTCAGTTATTTCTTAGTTAATTATTTTAAGTTAATTTTTTTTTTATTTTGGACTAAATATGACCCAGATTATTTGATAGATGTATAAACATAATTTGACCTGCAAATGACCAAAATACTCCTCCGTGAAAATCTGATTCTTGAAGCATATTAGCTTTGTTTTTGATCTCATTTCATTAATGCATTAGAAGTGCAGGTCTTTGAGAATTTGCCTGCATCTTTGGGGCGAATTCATGTCTTCTGAAAGTGATGGCTGTCATCATCCTTTTCATTTAGTCCTTTTCAGGGCTCGTCTATTGCTCTTGTATTGACTTTTGTTGCCTGATTTATCTGAAAGCTTGTTATGCATGTTTAACAACCTCCTCTCTGTCAGAGCTCTTTGAGCAGGTATGCAAATGTATGCAAACACACACAGACATGTACAACATTGGACCACCTCTTTCTGACAGAAAGAGAGCACAAGAATAAGTGTTTGCTCTTCAGATACACTTGTACTAGATTACAGCTGAAAATAAAGTCAAAGTCTGCTCTGTGATGTAATATCCATGTTCAAGGCTGCTGTTCCTGTTGCAACAAACCCCTCTGTGTTTGCATCTATGTTGCCTTAGAGCAAACCTGGGCATTTTATGGCCCGCGAGCCACATACAGCCCTTTGGTTGACTTTGACCGGCCCGCATAAGGTTAATTGGAAATTACAGAATAAATGTATTTTCTCAGTTTACCTCATGCATTGACTAAGGCTGCATTGCTTTTATTTTGAAGTTGTTTTTTACGTACACAATGACGCAATACGTATCGCAACAAGTGCCCGCGGTTGACATGGTGATTGTAGCCCCCAGAAATGTACGCTCATGCAAAAAAAAAAAAAAAAAAAAAAGAAAGATAGATGCCGAATGCAGGATTTTCAACAAAAATTGGACTGCTAAGTATTTTTTTACTGAAGTCAGAGGTAAAGCCATGTGTTTGGTTTGCCGGGAGGAGATTGCCGTGTTTAAGGACTACAATTTGAGTCGGCATTACGACAAGAAACACTCAGAAAAATACAAGAACTTGTCTGATGCTGAGAGGGCACGGACATCCGAAGCTTTGCTAGCAAAGTTGCAAAAGCAGCAAGGCTTTTTTACTAAGCTTCACACATCCAGGGATGCAGCAACCAGGACCAGCTTTGTGATATCCCACAAAATAGCTAAAAACAGCAAGCCGTTTTCGGAGGGAGAGTTTGTCAAAGAGTGCATGGTGGACTCTGCCGCACTAATATGCCCTGAAAAAAGGCGCATTTGAGCAAATCCCGCTGTCCAGGCGAACCGTGACCAGGAGGATCGAGGGCATTGCGGGGAACCTGGAGATTCAGCTACAACGTGAAGTGGCAAGTTTTGACTTTTTCTCATTGGCCTTAGACGAGAGCTGTGATGTCCGCGACACAAACCAGCTGCTCGTATTTGTCCGGGGGATAACGGACTTCAAGCTCACAGAGGAGCTGGCAGCAATGCGGTCGATGAAAGGGGCAACGACAGGGAGTGATCTTTTTACAGAGGTAAATGCGTGCATGGACACTCTGGGATTGAAATGGGAGAGACTGTCAGGTGTCACAACAGACGGTTGTCCAAATCTTACAGGGAAAAATGTCGGACTTTTGAAACGCATGCAAGATAAAGTGACAGAAATCGATGCAGATCAAAAATTGGTGTTTTTGCATTGTATTATACACCAACATGTGTTGTTCAAGTCAGTGCTAAAAATCAACCATGTTACTGATGTTGTTACTAAAATAATAAACTTCATCAGGGCACGGGCAATGAATCACAGACAGTTTGTCGCTCTTTTGGAGGACTCCACACAGCTGTCAGATGGCTCAGCCTGGGGAAAGTGCTGAAGAGGTTTTGGGACTTGAAAGCAGAGATTCAAGAGTTTTGCAAGAGGAAAGGCAAAGACATTCCAGAGCTCTCAGATGAGGATTGGATGGCAGATTTTGCATTTGCTGTTGATGTGACTGCACTGATGAATAAACTGAACACCAAACTGCAAGGCAAGGACCTTTTTGTTCATGAAATGCACAGCCTCGTGAAGGCCTTCATGAGAAAGCTGCAGTTTCTTTCAAGTCAACTGGAGAGCAACACTCTCACTCACATGCAAACGCTGAACGAAGTCACACCATCAGCCGATCACCTCAGCAGGTAATGGTGCTTTTTCAAGGCATTTTGAAGATCTCAGAACAATCGAGGATGAAATGCACATGATTTCCTCTCCCTTTACCTGCAGTGTGGATAATGCGCCCAGTGATGTGCAGCTGGAACTCATTGACCTGCAGTCTGATGCAGTACTGGCCATAGCACTTTAAGTCAGGATCTCTGCTGGATTTCTACTCTTCTCTTAAGGAGGAGAACTTTCCAAACCTGAGGAGACATGCTCAGAAGATGTTGGTTCTCTTTGGCTCTACCTACATTTGTGAACAAACATTTTCAATGATGAAGTTTACAAAATCCTGGTATAGATCCTCTCTCACTGATGATCATTTGTCAGCTGTGCTTCGCATCTCCACCTCAGACATTCAACCTGACTTTGATGCACTCGTTAAAGCCCAGCAGAGACAAGATTTCTCTCACTGAATAAGAAAAAAATCGCTTAAAAACACAAAATAAGCTGTTTGGACCACAAATGTAGGCAACTGGCAGTGAACTAGGACACCTTTTTTTTAAACCTCTTTCTCAAGATCACAGTTCAGTGATTTTATTTTACAGACAATACTGTGTGTCTGTAGAATGCTAAGAACCTCTTTCCAACAATATTTGAAACTCAGAATGTGTTTTGGAGTGAATGTGACTGAAACTGTTAACTAATATAAGTCACAAATGTTTAACAAAAACCAAATGCGCACACTTTGTTTACCATTGCCTTGGGGAATTTGAATAAATCACATTTTTGTAAGCCAACCTCACTTTTTCCTTTTTGCTCATTTATAACATATAGTCTACTCTTACCAGCTTGAAAAAACAATGGTGTTTAATGCTTTTTATAAAGAAATACCGTTAATATTATGCATAATTGACTTCAGCCTTTTGGCCTGGCCCTCCACAATATTTTCTGTTTCTCATGTGGCCCCATGGAAAAAATAATTGCCCACCCCTGCCTTAGAGAGATAGCTGTTGATTGTCAAAAACTCACATTTCAAGACTGTAAACCATTTTGAAGTTGTTGTTTTTTAAAATACGATTGATCACTCTGAGATTCATGTGCAGGCTGACCTTGAAAATAGTTTTCTACCGCAAAATCCTGCATTAGCTGCAAATATAAAAGAGACGGGGAGATGCTCGTGATCTACAGATCTACGTCACACTCTAAATTAACATTCGTGTACTCACCCTCGTGACGGGGGAAGGCTGTTGTTGGTTTAGCCTCCAGGAAAAAGAAAAGCACGTCTTGACTAGTACAAGCTAACTATTAGCATTAGCAACTCCATCACATGGCAGAAGTCCAGGCTTGAGTTATTTGTGGAGATTAACTTTGCAGAGAAAAAGGTAGCAGTGGTGAGCTCATGTTGCTGTTAGCCAATCAGAGGTGAGATGTCTGAATTACACAAATACTAATGACTCCAAGTCTCCAAATCCTGACATTTTCTGCCCTCTTCTCCTCTGACTAATTTCTACTTCCTGAGTCAGGAGCACCAGAGCTTTTTTTTCCTCCCCACAAAGAACAACTTCTAAAGCATTCATCTATATTAACAATCACAGTAAATGGATTGAAACAATGAGTGAATGAGAGCTTCAAGTATTGAATACGTTTCAAACATTTGTGCCATGTCCGTTTGTTTCTGCTCTAACTTGTTCACACAGAGATGTGTTTTTAAAGAACGTTTTCAGGCATGCATTTATTTCCCTGACAGGTTATGCATATTTTGACAACATGATGGCCCCCAGAACCTGCTAAATGTTTTCAGAAGCGCACGTATTAAGGACTTAAATTTAAATCCCCCATGACTGCAAACATCCCCTCTGCTTGGAAGGTTGTGTCATTTTCCCCTCCATGACAGCCTGAAACATAAAATAAGATGTCCTTGTTGTCTTTTACAGGCGGAGGGATCCTCCTTCTTGCAGATGGGAGCTTCTCTAGAGCAGCAGGTCATCTGCATGTTTAAGGTATGGAGACACATTCTGTCAAATTTGATTTACAAACTGGGTTTTCATGATTCAATAATTACAGGGTCAAGCTTGGCCACTGGGACCCCTAAGGCTGATTAACACCATGAGGGGACATCCCATAAGTCAGAGGGGGAATCCCTGATTTGAAGTTAAAGCCCAGTTTGCGCAAACTAATAAAATCTGATGGATTTTACAGATTCTCGTGGGATTAGATAACGTCATTGTCACATGTGTTTGTAAGTCATTTGGATAATCTCAGTAAAGTCTGTTAAACCCTAGTTTCACCTAAATATGTCGAGCAGTTTTACAACTGACAGCATGTCACTATTAGTCACGCTTAAGTCAGTGGAAATGCTGCAGAGTGTGGAAATGTCTGGTGTTATACATTGTTGCCAAGAGGACATCAGTTTGAAATTACACAGTAAATTAATGAGATGGAACAGATTATGATGTTTTTCTTACATCTGCTGGCTTCAGTCAAACATAAAGTCCGTAGAATAATTTTGATCCAATCTAACCAGAATATACCATTTTTAATTACTATTTAGGTGTACCTAATAAATTATAAGATTGAGCAAAGAGCTTCGGCCCACTCCCCTTTTTGTTTCATGCTTTTGATCCAGGTCGTGAGAACTGGAACTCAACTGGCTGCAGCGCGGATTGCCTGTTGTTTATATTAGAAAAAGGTTTGTCTTTTGAGGTGATAAGAGTTTGAGGTAATTAGATTATTATAAAAAAAAAATCAAACATTATAAAATAATGTCACACAAACCTCTATGCAAATTAGGGAATGGGGCTGCACGGTGGTGCAGTAGGAATCCCTGTGAGAAGGTTGCAAGTTCAAATCCCGGCTGTGGCCTTTCAGTGTGGATTTAGTGTGCCTTCCTCATGCATGCATGGGCTTTCTATGGATGCTTCATTTTTCTCCCAGAGACCAAAAACGTGCATGTAAGGTTAATTCACTGCACTGGTATTTCGAAATAGTAAAACTTGATTTTGATAAATTAACAAACATTTTAAAACAGCAGAAATCCATTTTGCTCTCAGCTGCACTTGGACCCATTAGTCCTGTTAGAAAAACAGCTTCTGTGAGGTGGGGCTGTTCACAAAGCTATCCAAAGTGGGTAAGATTTAGGGATGCACCGATGTGAAAGTCAACATCTACAGCTGATGGTAAAATCACTGTTATACCCGATAACCAATATTTACCTATATAACAATAAAATAAGCAGCGATGTAAGAAAATAAAAATACACTAAAATATTTTGTGTTCACATATTGTTGATAAAAGCAGTGTATAGATGTATTTAATTCAGTATTTACATGCAACCATTTGCTTATTTCTTTTGTGTAGTGCAATTGAAAGTCTGACCCCTAGGTGGCAGCATTCTTACCACCTTGTTCTGACGGAACAGTGAGCTCTCACGATAACTCTGGATGTGTTTTAGAAGCATCTGATCTGAGTTTTTCAATTAAGTTCAGCAAAAAATGTGCAAATTGTCACACTTTTAGTTGTGGGACTTTCATCGGCTGACACTGGTGTTGATACTGGTATATGGTGCCTCCCTTGTAGAATAGTAATTACTTATAACAAAACACATTTTATTGTGGCTGAAAAATCCCATAAAATATTGTTAAATCACCCATCTACTCCCGTGTGTTTGCTGCAGATCTTGGAGGAGTACGACTGGGGCGAGTTTGCAGTGATCACCAGCTTGATGCCAGGCTACGACACCTTTGTGGACATAGTTCAGTCTTACACAGACACTTCCTACTTCCTGTGGAACCTACAGGATATCATGACTCTAGAAATGTCTGTTGGAGCCAATGACTTGAAGACTAAACGCATGCTGCAGCAGGTATAATAAAAGAGCATTTCCTGATATTGATGACAATATGCTGTGCTTCCATAAATCATAAAGTTTCCTTTCCATCTGCAGTTGGACTCCCAGGTCTTACTGGCGTACTGCTCCCATGAAGAAGCACAGTACTTGTTTGGTCTCGCAGGTCAGGTGGGTCTGCTGGGGCCTGGCTACATCTGGATCCTCCCCAGTCTGGCCTTGGGCAACCCCAACAGCCCCCCACCTGCCTCCTTCCCTGTAGGTGTGATTGGAGTGATTACGGATCAGTGGAGGAAAAGTTTGCGGCAGCGAGTGAGGGAGGGGGTCGCCATTGTTGCCAAAGGGGCAGAAAGCTTCAAGAAAGCTTATGGTTTCATTCCTGAAGGACATGGTGACTGCAACAAGGCAGCAAAACAGTCAGACAACAACACTCTGTTCAGGTAACAATAAATAAATAAATAAAGGTCAATTATGCAGACTTTTTCCACATGGATAGGTTTACTTTGATCAGTAGTGGTACTTTACTCATATTTTAATACTCGTGCAGTGGTCTATAGTAGGATTGGATACCTTTTAAGTTGTACTGGGGGGATGGGGGTGCATCGGTGTGCCCGTTTCAGGAACTAGATGTGAGCCAGATGAGATGAGCTGAACATGGTGGGATTTGAAAACTTATTTCCTAATATTTGGACGTCTCACCTCTGACTGGCTAATAGAAACGTGACTCTACCATGGACTCTGTTTGCTCTGCAACGTTGATGTGTTCTCTCCACAAATAACACACGCCTGAAGGAGTTCTGCATGTGTTGGAGTTGCTAATGCTATTGGTGAGCTTTTACTAGCCGAGATGTTCTCTGCTTTTTCCTGGAGGCTAAAACAACAACCTTCCTTGTCGCGAGTCATGATGGGTGAGTCCGCGAATGTTAAATAACAGTGTGACACTGTCAGGCTTTTCAAATCCTAGCATTTTCCCATCTAATTTCTATCAGAAGCTAATGCAGAAGATAGGAGTAAGAGACCACATTCATGTTCACCCTGCATGTTAAACTCAGAGTGACCAATTATAATCAAAAATAATTATGATAAATATGCTTTTTCAGTAGAGTACCACATAAAAACAAATCGAAAATGTATGTTCTTTAGTCCAAACAAGGTCACAGACAAATTTTAGTCTCACAAAACTGCAGTTTACAAACCTAATGATGATACATTAGATACACAGACTTCTTATCTAAAGTCTATTGTCAGGATGTTTAAATTAACTCATCATTTCTTCACTGGTCTATTCCAAGAGTTTCTTATATCCTTCTAAATAGGTCTTGATCAAGTTTTGAAATTTTTTTCTTATGACTTTAAGAATTTTTTCCACTAATTTCTGGTCCAGTTCTTGTACCCAACCGTGACAACATGATGTGTGGTCAAAACCTAACTTGGAAAGTGGACAAGAGATGTAATTTAGAGCTGCTTCCACATGGAACAAGCAGTTTCTCTTTCATCATCATCATCATCATCATTATTTGTATAGCACTTTAGAAACACAGCCATACAGCTGACCAAAGTGCTGAACAGTCAGACAATACTAAAAATATAACACATGAAACAGTAAAAAATGCAACCAAGAATACAATAAAACAAGCCAAAACTACAATAAGAATTACCAATAAAACCAATGGAAACATGTCCTCCAAATGTAGTAAAGTAAAGTAAAAAAGCCCATCCAGCAGCTAACTGGAAATGCAAGGGTAAAATATTGTGTCTTTAGTCTAGACTTAAAAACTTCCAAGGAGGATGCCTGTCGTACTGTGACTGGGAGTTCATTCCACAGTTTAGGACCACCAAAGGAAAAAGCTCTCTCTCCACATGATTTATAATGCACTTTCGGGACCTCTAGGAGCAACAAGCTGGAGGACCCAAGTGTGCAGCCAGGGGAATAAATTGAGAGAAGGTCAGATAAATACACAGGGGCAAGACCGTGGAGGCATTTGAAAACAAAAAGTAGGAGTTTGTATTGAACACTGAAAGTGACGGGCAACCAGTGAAGGGATCTGAGAACTGGTGTTATATGCTGGCGCCTGTCAGTACATGTCAGGAATCTAGCAGCTGCTTTTTGAACAAGTTGAAGTCGAGCGAGGGTTAATTTATTAACACCATCAGAGCATCAGAGTAATCAAGCCCAGATGTGATAAAGGCGTGAATTTCTAGATAAGACAGCTCTCAATTTGACCAGACGGCGGAGTTGGAAAAAGCACAATTTTACAGTGGCATTAACCTGGGTGTCCATCCTTAGAGATGAATCAATCTTCACAGCTAGAATTGTTACAACGTTTTTTAGATTTGTAGAAATGGAAGAAAGATCTGGGGTTTGAAATGCGCTAGGTCTGGCCGGATTAAACAGGATCAGTTCAGTCTTGGAGTCATTAAGATGTAGAAAAAATGTGGTCAGCCAACATTTCACATCACAAATGCAATCTAGAGGCTGAATGGATTGCTGGGGTTTCACGACATGCAAATCTGACAGTCATCAGCATATAAGTGGTAGTGGACAAAGTGTTGTTTTAAGATGAAGCTAAGGGGAAGAAGGTAAAGAGAAAACAGGGGCTCCAGAATTGATCCTTGAGGGACCCCACATGAAAGAGGAGCAGTGCGAGATGAAGTATTGTTCAACACCACCCGTTGGGACCTGTCTGACAAATAGGACCTAAACCAGGTAAGGGCTGTACCATGTATTGCAGCAACCTCCTCCAAGCGCAGTAAGAGGATGTTGTGGTCGACAGTGTCAAAGGTGGCAGACAGATCGAGAAGTAATACCTCTTCCAGAATATAACTGGAAGTAAACATACTGTGAGCCTCATTTGCATTTGTTATGATATGCAAATCAGCCTGGATTCATTAATTTACAGTCTAGTCTATCTTGATTTTATACCTTAAACACAAACAGTAACATCCTGGCCATCACCTGTTACCTTGATGAGCAATTTCTTGACTCGGATATTAATTTAAATTCTCCAGGTGTAATTATCAAGTGATAATCACATCAAGTCAGTGTGTGTGTGTGTATAAAAGAACATGGACCGATTCATGAGTGACTTATTTTATCTTGTTGTTTGATTGTGTTATTTTCTGATTATGTTTTTGTTTGTAATGCAGGCACATGTTAAATGTAACGTGGGAAAGGAAAGATCTGTCATTCAACAACCAAGGCTTCCTATCCAACCCCTCCATGGTCATCATCGCTTTGGACCGGGAACGACAGTGGGACAAGGTACTGAGCAAGATAAAATCATCATTCAAATACGTAGAACTCAGTTATCCAGGGGGAACAAACAAGGCATTCACACATGACACATCACCATACAGAGAAAGAGCATTCTGCTTGATTGATTAAATTGACATTTTCTTCAAATACTTGTATTTCCTTTAAAGTGTTGACACTTTTTTCTCAGTGATGACCCAGTTCAGCACATCATCAAAGTTTTAAAATGACAGTACGCACAAATTCTGATTAAGAGAATAGTCCAGAGATTGAGCTTCACATTTTTGTTGGATCAGATTATATGAATATTTCTGGTTTGTTTGTAAAAAAACAGCTATTAGAAATTAAAGGTCAGACCAGGTCAGTAGTTGATCAATTTACAGTTTGAAAACAGAAAAAATACATTTGAGGCTATATTAAATATCACTAATGTGCCTCATTTCATTTTGTGGAGGAGCTGTATCCTTCTGCTTCCATAACTTTGCAGCCTGTGTGTTTCACTCCCTGTTACACACACACACACACACACACACACACACACACACACACACACACACACACACACACACACACACACACACACACACACACACACACACTGACAGCCTGAGGGTGTATTGAAAAGCTGTGACTAACCAGAAAGGTCTGAACGTAATCTTACTGCTACGCTTGAACTCATTTATTTCTGTTCTGCAAAGACCAGCTCGCTTCATCAATGTCCCTTCCTGCCAGGATTGCATGTTTTCATGTGTGTACAGATGTGTAATTGCACTGGAGAAAGAGGTCATACGTGTCTAAAACTCTCACCTAGTTTCTACTGATGCTGTGTCTTTGTGTTTCTGTGACTTTTCAGAATCTGAGATGAAAGAAACTTTGTATTATTTGTGCATGTGTGTATGCATCATCTCTAACCTTTGTTCCCTGTCTCATTCTCATCCTCATCTCATCTGCTCTTCATGTCCTGTACTCAACATGTCACTGTGATTTTTTCAAGCCTGTCACAGTCACTAACAATTTCACATACAACCCTTGCCTGTAATAATAACAATAATCTGTGGTGTACTTGAAAAATTTTCTCATGTCTTGTTCAGATCTGAACTAACAATAATTATTACATAATCATGATCAAATAGCATTACTTGTTTACTTAATGAAAAAATGGATCATGTTTAGAGCTTCCACTTGATTCTACTGGTTCTACATCTGTGTCTGGGTACATTTATGATTCAACGCTCCCAAAACAGATTGATTGAAAAAAACACACGACGCACATGACGACACAGAGGGAAGAACAGGTTTTGCATTAGTGATCCTTGTTTGTGTAGTTGCTTACACTTGTTCAGCTGTGCCGTGTCTTATGGACTTCTAAAGGCCATACTGTCAACCATAATGAACACCTTGTCAAGATTTAAAGATCTCAGGAAATGTCCGAGGAATTCAGAAGCAGCGTCAATTATAGTTACAATAGAGGAAAGTGACCGATGCGCGCAGCCAAACTTGTTCTCTTGTGTTTTTTAGAAATGTGTTTTTTCCCTCAAGAATAAAAAAAATGCACAGCTTCACCTCTGTGAATATACAAGGCCGTATCCATGCACATTTATGATTGCAGAGGTGGAAGTTTAACTTTTTTTCTCATAAACTTATAATTTTACAATCTCAGATGTTATTCATGAATCCAAGCCTCATCAGGTTTTCACAAGTTAACCTTTTTGTCCTAATGATATAGTTTCCAAAATAATTTTCCCATTTAAACACAATATTATGTTCTCAAAATGTACATATTCATCACATTTTTTACAAAAAAAATGATCATGTTCCCACTTTATAAACTTTAGAAGAATGTGGTGATTGTGTATACAGTAAGGTTCCCGTGTTATAAAGAATTAGATTGATCTAATTTGTGTTCATAACATAATAAGTCAGTGGCAGAGCAGCAGTTAAGAAAATCGCTCGTCTATTAGAACTGTTTTATTTCATGCTTGGGTTTAGTCATGGGGACATTTATTTGTTACTGGGCAGCATGGACAGACAGTATTGAGATTTAAGCTTGAAGCAGATATTTGACAGAAATTCACTTTGTTCACATTGTTCACTACACCATCAACAGCTTTCACACCATGCCCTGTGGCAGAAGGCGTAAGGGGGTTCGTGGGGGGTGTCTGTGATCCAAAATGTACACCTATTGTCATGAATTGTATGCAACAGACCCTTAAGGCTAGTGCTTGACCTGTATCTAGTTAATATAGTAACGTTGCTTTTGAACAATTTAAACCAGAAGGGACCAAAACTGCCTTTTGAAAAGGGGTTTGGGGGACATGTCCACCCCTCCCCCCATCCATCCCCTGTACCGTGGGCCATTTATGAAGATAAAAAAAAATAACTAACTCACTTGCGCAGTGAACATGTGACCTAGGCAAATTGTTTTTGGCACATTCGAAACATCATTGAGACAACAAATCAGTCTTTTAAATCAACGTCTTCATCCAGATCTACAACTCATTCATGTATAACAAATAAAACTTTGTAGAACAGATGGAGCTGGGAGGAAAAGGTCTCAAAGGGAGTGGGTTTTGCATGTAAGGCAGCGCAGGCAGAGCTCAGAGTATCTCATAAGGTTTGCTGGTGTGACAAACTGTCCCCAGACTCGGGAAAAGGTTTCAGTCAGCGTAAAGCTGACACCTATGATGTGACATTATCTGTAGTTAAATAATCAGAGTTGTTTCTTTCATCATTACGAAAATAAATCTATTGTTCGGTGTTTAGTCGTTACATTGCCAAAAGCTGTTTGTTGATTTAATTTGAGTTCAGTGAGTTTTAGTAGCACAAAAACATTTTTCCCTTCCAACTGAATTTAACACTTGATCAGTTCACATTTATTAAATGAGACATTTGAATTTGTTTGTTGAATTAAGTAGGATATTAAATGAAGAATCAGTCAAAAAACAAATAGAGTGGATAATTAACACAGTGCAGTTTGCTTCAGTCTAATTTATCTGACTTTTTTCACTTTGTGTTTCAAGAATTTCAAGTTTCAAGATTCTTTTAATGAACTCAGCCCTGCTTTTATCTTCCAATCCTCCTCTCTCCTGGTCGGCACATTCAAAGGTTAAATAATAAAAAAATGTCCCAGAAGCCTGCGGGGAACAGCCAGTGAAAAGGAAAGAGGTTGACATGAAGGTCGCAGCTCAGATTCAAAACATGCATGTTCCTGATACCAATGAGTTCTCTCTCCCTCTGCTCAGGTGGGTACGTTCGCTCGCGGCATCCTTCAGGTTCGCTACCCCATCTGGCCACGATATGGCAGCTTCCTAGAGCATGTGTCTGATGATCGTCATCTGACTGTGGCCACCCTGGAGGAGCATCCCTTCGTCATGGTAGAGAACGTGGACCCGGGAACCGGCACGTGTGTCCGCAACACTGTTCCCTGCAGGCGTCAGTCCAATCATTCTGACAGGTACACAGAAAAATATGTCTTCTGTGTGTGTGTGTGTGTGTGTGTGTGTGTGTGTGTGTGTGTGTGTGTGTGTGTGTGTGTGTGTGTGTGTGTATATGTGTGTGTGTGTGTGTGTGTGTGTGTGTGTGTGTGTGTGTGTGTGTGTGTGTGTGTGTGTGTGTGCAAGCTTACACACCTGACTCAAACAAACACAACAACATGAACTCTGATCATATCTGAGGGAGTGGAGTGCTGTAGATGGAGAAGAAGAAGAAAAACAATACCACAGCGCTGGTCTCGTGTTTCTGTGCAGCAAAACCTCAAAGGGGTCAGTCAAAGCTAGAGGAAAAAGAGCAACATAAAAGCAGATTCTGAAATAAAAGCTTTGGATGGTTGTAAACACCAGCAGGAGAGGGAGCGCCATCGTTTTATGCATCTCAACCTGACATGTGGATGTGCCTCACGGAAGGTTATAAACCTTCAATTAAACATTCAGTTCAATCACTGATGCATTATTTCACCATTCCAACTTGAATTATTAATAACTGTCCTTTCTTTAAACTGCAATAAATGTTTAATTTGTAATCTTTTGTGTGGGGATGGGTTTAAATGAGCATTAGAGAATGTTCATGTTTAATAGCCAAAGCCAGTGACACACCAGTAACCAGAATCTCACTGGGTTGTAGGAAACCAGCTGAAGACAGCATTCATGAGGGAGTCTTTAAAAGCTCTTGTAATTTTCTGATTCTGAATTTCCTCTCAGTCCTACAGGCTTGTTGTCTTGTCAAATGACTTGTGAGTGGTTTGAAAAGTTTGCATGAACATTTATTTATCTGCAAACATATCAGAGTCACGGTGGGTGCCTGAAACCCTGGTCAAATTCATTTCTGTAAGTCAAGACATCCAAAATATGTGAGGCGACTTTGGAGTTTGTGTCTAATTAAATAAAAGAAGAATAATTAGGACACTGACTAAAAAGCAACAATGTTTGCACAACTGTTGCAGTCTGTGTTTCCCGTGCAAGCATCTGTACGTAATACTTAAATGAGATTGCAACACTTTTTACGTTTTATCATAATCGTGTTTTTTGCACACCCAACAACAGTTTCAGTACCCCACTGTGGGCACTGAAACACCAGGAGCATGCTTTTGAGAAATACAGAAAATAATTTATCTTTAAAAACAATTGACTGACATATTTAGACTTAATTGCTATGAAGAGATTGAAAGAATCTCTAAGAGGATAAAAATCAAAATAATGCTTGGCAAAGTGTTTTGTTAAAATATTTGCATGAATCTAAAAGTCTCTGGCACATAGTTTGTGGATGAAAAGCTAAAAATTTTTAAAATTACAAGATTAGCTAACATTTTACCTATTCTATCCTGCTTCCTGCTGCATCTCATCAGCTGACAAGGGAAAAAAGTCCACATATATAAATTTACAGCCACACACCTACACAAGTTATAAACATTTCTAATGTCACCCATTCCTGCTCACACACTTCTGTACCAGCCCTGTTCATCTGCTCCAGCTGGGTTCACTGCAACCCTCCACAGTTCATTAAACACTGAGTGATTGAGTCTGCTGCATCACTTTAAAGAGAGCCCTCTGTTGTCAAACACCGATTGCAGCACAGTTGAAAACAGACATTTAACAGCCATTACCTCCAACTGCCTACACCTCATCAAGAGCACACAGTTTCTTCATTATGTTCAAACAAGCACAAACAATGAGCACAGGTCTAGCATACATTCAATAATGTCTGGTCCAACATTTTTCCTTCTTAGTTTTGAGTGTGTTTGAAAACAAACACATTTCAAGGGAACCTAAGCCACGCCCATCCACTTACGGACCACGGGCCCCTGGAAATAAGAAATAATTAATACAAGCCAATGAGGCTTTAAAAGCTATTTCCTGATCCCGTTTGATATGTGCCATGGATTTCACATATGATGACCGTGAAATTTCAAAACACATTCTGATGGCATGAAATTGCTTGTTTTTGAATGGGGGCAAAAGATGTTTTATACTTTGTGTGAAAATATGCAAAGGACTTCAGATGTTTGTCTCACCAAATTGATGTCATTGAACCAGACACGAAGAAAAGGAGAAGGTAAGTTTAGCAAGCTTTGAATCCTTCTTCTAGGATGAGAGAAGGAACAATAAATGTGGAGAAACTGCCATCAATTTGGGCATTTGGTCAGTAGCAGCTACGCCGGGGGGATAAGAGATTCTGCAGTGATTCTACAGGATTCTTCTTTATTCAACATTCCTGCCTCTTGTCATCCTGGGTCTGCATCTTGGGCCCTAACCTCCTGCTCCTAAATGTGACAGCACTTAAAAAAAAATTCCTTGAACCAGTATGTGCTAAAATGACCCCTTACAGGGTTAATGAAATTCCACCCAACCCCTATCGCCCCCTGTGGCCAGAATCATCCACGTGCACCTTCAGACTGGTGGGCCGCTCTGTTGGGACTTAGAAAAAAATGAGCTGACGTACCTGGTGCTGCAGTCTGATTCTAGCACGTTCCCTGCATGTTTTAGATCATGAACACAGCTGATTTGTTTAATTTAGTTTAGTGATGAACCACTCCTGTAGACACTAAGGAAGGTTGGGAGACATTTCAACTGTTAAGGTGTTAAAAAGACGAATGCACAGCAAAGAGATAGGTTTTATTTTTGGTTTGACCACAGACAATAATGAACACCAGGGAGTGCTAAAAGCAAGCAAAACTGCCTTGTTCCCCTTTTAAATAAGTGAAATTCTCTATCCTCTGATCATTACCCCTAAAAATTCAGCTAATAGATGCTTGGGTTAATTTGTTTGGATCTAAATGTCTGTGGAGGGAATCAAATCTCATTGATTTTTACAATTACACAAATAGGGGCTTTCAGCTTGTGAACATAAGCATATTCAACAATAAAGAGTAATGAGTAGTGTGTTATTATTTTCATCCCAGGAAAAATAAATTGTGACTTAACAGATGAGAAACAGGTCAAAACAGCAAAGCAGCAATCTATAAGCAGCTTTAGATGTTGAAGTGCTGAGATTTTTTTCATTTTAGAAAATTCTAAAAGTCTGATAACCAGAGCCAGTTTCACAAATTGAGGGTCAGATTATCAAGGTCTTCACTGTTGCTAGCTGCTGAAGAAATTAGGGGTTGTATGAACTAGTCGACCTCACTGCTCTGTATTGACTTTTTATGTCTGTCATCGACTAGTCGCTGTCACATGATAATGACAAGATGCAGTCCTCGGAAAAGACAGCAGGTGACGAGCCCCTGCAGGTCTGGATCGAGGCGGAGGCGACGCGCTGTGCCAGAGCATCGGTACTGACACCCGCCGTAAAACGGACATTTAACCAAATTGTGACCTTTTCCCTCTTGCAATTTAACTTTCCCCTCACCCAATCCTAATCTTAACCAGCTTGCGCATGCAAAGCTCTGATCGTTGACGTGCTCCAGACATCTGCGTCCTCAGCATGGCCACAGTAACATTATCAAATCAGGTGTCACCACTCAAAAACAAATGTAACGCGATCGTTCATGTCGGCTCATTTCCTTTTATGTTTTCTGTCTTTTATTTTTGCCTGATGCACCCCGCTGCTGTGAAGCGGGGCGCATCGTCTGTTTTGTCCTGCAATGACGCACTGCGGCCAGCGAGGAGCTCGCACTCCGCTGTTTTTGCGGTCGGTGGATCTTTTAGAACTGCAGTTCAAAGGTAACTCATAAGGTGAATATATATGAACCCAGGCAGCAGTTTTTCTTTAGGATTGCGAGGAGATGCAGGAAGACAATAAACAGACAGGACAGAAAAATAGTCAAATAAAAACAAATTCGTTTTTGTACCTGGTGGTTGCAACAAACAGACACAATTGAAGGTAATCAGAAGTGAGGAACAGAAAATGAAATAATTATTTTAATGTTTAGAGCAGCAGGAACTCTGAGAGGCTGCAGGCGCATCAGTGAGTTTGCAGCCGCGGCGCAGGGGGAGGGGGGAAATGGCTGAAGCAGGAACAGTATATATATGCAGAAACTACCGTTGTTAAAAGAGATGTGTTTAACTTTGAAAATGTGGGCGCAATTTTAATTGTCAAAAACTCCAGCGAACCAACCACCACCACCCCCATCTACCACCACCCCACCACCGCCCCCACCCCATCCCCCCGGCCGCTTCAGGTGTATGACGTCATCAACGACTTGTCACGGTGTAGGAGGTGGAGATGATGGACCATGTGTGGTTGAGCTGAGCAGGAGGTAAAAATGCAGGCTTCGGTAAAAGTAAAAATGGTTTAATGGCAGGATGGGATGAACAGAAACACCAGCAGACAACAACAATGAACTGACAAAGGACAGGGGCAAAACAGGTGGTTTAAATACAGAGGGCTAATTAGGGAAACATGGGCAGGTAAACGAGGGACAGGTGAGAACAATAAGGGTAATCATGGCAGGAGAGGAACACAGTCAGGTTGGGCAGGGGCAGATCGTGACAGTACCCCCCCTTAAGGGCGGATACCACACGCCCACAAGGCTATACAACAGGAGACGGGGACTTGAAGACTGGACATGACAGGAACGTGACTGGAACAGGGACTCGACAGGACATGACAGGAACGTGACAGGAACGTGACTCGAACAGGGACTCGACAGGACGTGACTGGACATGACTGGAACAGGGACTCGACAAGACATGACTGGAACAGGGACTCGACAAGACATGACTGGAACAGGGACTCGACAGGACATGACTGGAACAGGGACTCGACAGGACATGACTGGAACAGGGACTGGAACAGGCACTGGAACAGAGACTTGACATGACTGGAACAGGGACTTGAACAGGGACTTGACAGGACATGAACAGGGACTTGACATGACTGGAACAGGGACTTGAACAGGGACTTGACAGGACATGAACAGGGACAGGACATGACTGGAACAGGGACTTGAACAGGGACTTGACAGGACATGAACAGGGACAGGACATGACTGGAACAGGGACAGGACATGACTTGAACAGG